GTTGTTGTTTATTTTTGCTTTAAATTTAGCTAATCAAAACGAAATGTACATGTAGCACGGGCTATGGTGAGCCCGTAATTGAGTTCGGTTATTCGCGATAACCTTGTTACTGTGATATTTGGGTCAAAGTTTTAAATGGAGGTGGGGTTTCCTCCTTTTTAACCGTTTCTTTTTCGTTTCTGTTTTAGTGCACTCGCTTTAGTCTTGTTCTAGTAACATTAGGTAATAACTCACACACACACAAACACACACACACGCACGCACACTCACATACAAACACACACGCACACAGTGCCACCAGTTGATTAACAGTTAAGAGGCACGACCAACGAGCCGAAGCTCAACCCCCGCAAGCACAACTAGGTGAGTACACACCATCACCCATAAGGGCCTCATGGCTGAGTGGATAGCGCTCGTGAGTCATTGTCCTAAGGGCCCGAGTTCAATCCCCGGCGGTGGCGGAAACAAATATGCAGAGTTTCTTTCACCTTGATGCATCTGTCCATCTAGCATTAATTAAATAGGTACCTGGGAGATAGACAGCTGCTACGTGCTGTTTCCTGGGGATGTGTGTGTGTGTTAGAGAGAGCTATGTATAGTAGAGGAAAAATAGATTGGTTGGAAAGGCGGGATCTAAGAGCGTGATCCTGAAGACATAAATAGCAAATACAAATAGTAAATTACACACACACACACACACACACACACACACACACACACAGCCCCTGTACTGAGAGGAGGAGGAAGTAAACCAAGCAACCTTCGAGGATTTTGACCTGACTAGTGATGAAGTCAAAAGGAATCTTGTTGGAGCAGAATGTGACAAAGGCTGTAGGACCGGACAGAATCTCACCGTGGATACTAAAAGAAGGTGCAGAAGCACTAAATGTGCCACTCTCTATGGTGTATAACAGGTAACTGGAAACTGGAGACGTACCGGAAAGCTAAAAGACAACTAATGTAGTCCCAATATACGAATAGAGTGACAGACAAGAGGCACTGAACTACAAGCCAGTTTCCCTAACTTGTATACCATGTAAGGTGATGGAGAAGATCTTGAGGAAAAGTCTCGTAGAACATCTGGAGAGGTAAATCGTGCCTCACAGGCTTAATAGAATTCTTTGACAGGGAGACAAAAAATAGGAAAGAAAGAGAAGGGTGTGCAGTCTGCATTTTCTTACACTGTAGAAAGCCTTTGACACATTACCTCATAAGGGACTGTTACTAAAGCAAGAGAAACAGGTAGGAATAAAAGGTCAGGTGCCCCAGTGGATATGGGAGTATCTAAGCAACAGGAATCAGCGCATTACTATGAGGGAGAGAGATGAGAGTGGCAGGATGTCACCAGCGAAGGCCCACATGACTCTTTACTTGGACCCATCCCGTTTCAGATATATTATATATATATATATATATATATATATATATATATATATATATATATATATATATATATATATATATATATATATATATATATATATATATGTCGTACCTAGTAGCCAGAACGCACTTCTCAGCCTACTATGCAAGGCCCGATTTGCCTAATAAGCCAAGTTTTCATGAATTAATGTTTTTTCGTCGACCTAACCTACCTAACCTAACCTAACCTAGCTTTTTTTGGCTACCTAACCTAACCTTACCTATATATATAGGTTAGGTTAGGTTAGGTAGGGTTGGTTAGGTTCGGTCATATATCTACGTTAATTTTAACTCCAATAAAAAAAAATTGACCTCATACATAGTGAAAAGAGTAGCTTTATCATTTCATAAGAAAAAAATTATAGTAAATATATTAATTCAGGAAAACTTGGCTTATTAGGCAAATCGGGCCTTGAATAGTAGGCTGAGAAGTGAGTTCTGGCTACTAGGTACGACATATATATAAACAATCTTCCAGTGGGTATAGACTCATTCCTCTCAAAGTTTGCTGATTATGCAAAATTATGAGAAGAATCAAGACAGATGAAGATACAGAGACTACAGTGCGACCTGGACAAACTGGAGGAATGCTCTAGGAAATGGCTAATAGAGTTTAACTCGGGTAAGTGTAAAGTAATGAAATTAGGTGAAGGGAGCAAGAGGCTGAACACAAGGTACCATCTGGGAGGTGAGATCCTGCAAGAGTCAAGTAGAGAGAAAAATCTGGGAGTTGATATTACACCGAACCTGCCCCTAAAAGCCCCCACATCGAAAGTATATCATCAGCGGCATATGCTTCATTAGCCAACATCAGAACAGTCTTTAGAAACGTGTGAAAGGAATCATTCAAATCCTTGTTTCACACTTACGTCAGGCCAATCCTGGAGTATGCAGCTCTAGACTGGAATCCATACCTAGTTTAACACAAGAAAAAGTTTGACAAGATTAAGAGGTATGCCACCAGGGTACTCCCAGAACTTAGAGGTATGAGTTACGAGAAAAGGCTATGGGATCAAAGCTTCCCGTCCCTGGAAGACAGAAGAATAAAAGGAGTCATGATCACCACCATGATCAAAAT